GGTCGTCCTCTGGGTTTTTTTTCCAAGTGGTAAACGATCATTTGGTAATTTGTGTATGCCATATAGAATTTTGAGACCAACCAAATGTTTGCATATATACTCTTTACAAAAATATCGACAGGAACAATACATTTGTTGCGCAGAAACAATATGTGCAGATTCATACCAACGACGATAATTATCGAATGTATTAAATTGACAATGTTGATACATATCAATCCATTGTTGTACACCCAGCTGCGCATGGATCGTTGGTACTACTTGCTCATAGACATTCCAAGGCAATGGTATCATTGATTTAATACTTGTTTACCATTTTCGCAAACAATTCCAAATCTTTACTAACAATTGGTTCTAATGAAAATACACAATTATGTAATTTTAACGACCAGTCACTAATCATCTGACAACCAGTTGACAAAAAACCAGCTAATGGTACTTCATTCATTTCTTACTGCCTTCTCTTTTATATGTGTCTGTATAAGCGTACAGAAGAAAAACGATTAAGAAGAAAAAACAATGATATCAAGCAAGAAAGTGACAAAAAAAGAAATTTTATATTTTCCAGCAAATGTTCGAGAGGTATATAACGCTTTCCTACACTATCAGTGAACTCAGTTCACGTTTCAACTTCAAAGAAAGCCATCTTTTTGATCTCTCCTCCTTCACGTATATAGAGATGAACATTGAAAACAAGGAAACAACAAAAAGAAAAAATTTTATATTGTTATATACTCAATCAATTATCTATGAGGAACAGTCCCACCTCCATTTGTGCTATAAGCTGTGAGTGTGGCGAATTAAAAATAAATTTAACAGTAAAAAGTACCTATTTCTACCTTTTACAATACTTTCTAATACATGAGTTGTACTCCACATCGAGTCAATTTTTTGAGAAAGGCAACATATAGTCTATATCAAGTGAATTTGATATTGAAAAAACTGAGTAAGAATGAATAGAGAAAGATACGCATTGAAAAGGATCAGAGTTTCATCTAGCTGAACTAGTGCAGGAATTAGTTCAGTTTTGAATGTTTCGTAATACTGTACAATGATGAATATAACTGTAATGGATGAGTAGTTATTACTCATCATTTAACACTCTTGTTCATTGATTATTAGTAGCTCTATTTCAAGAAGATACTGACTATAGATAATAGCAGCCTTTTGCCCATTTTTATTTCATACCAAAATTTCATGATTTTTTTCTAGAGACGCGTCAATCGAGATTTTCGCATATTCGGAATCAATGTGACGAGTTATATTGGATATAATTTCTTTATATTCTTTTTGTTGTTTGTCCACTAATTAAATTAGTGATCAAAAGTCTTATGTTTTGGTGATAATTTCGCTGCTGATGAATTTGGTGATCAAAACACATTTTTCCAAAGAAAATATGATATAAAACTGTATACTGAGATCATACCATGCTAAACAAAAGAACGAAAATGAAAGAAGAATGTATGCTGCTATTCTAATACAATAAGCGGCTTGACAACGTAACGGTTTCCTTTTATGTCAAAGTCTAACAAAAATAAAACCGCCAATTTTTAGAGCATGCTCGGCTACCTATTAAACGATGGTTAGAATTTTTGTGTTGCGGGTCTTGGTATCGTCCCGATTCGTGGACAACTTTTTCTTTTAACTTGAATCGATACCGTTACAGTAATAGTAATTGGTAATGGTCCACTCTTATTCCTAACTACGAAACTGAGAGTAAGCCTTTTCCTCTCAAAATGGAAATAGATATCTTACTCCAAAACTGAGAGTAAACGCCTTACTCTGAAAATGGAAATAAGCGCTTTACTTCGAAACTGAGAGTAAGCCTTTTATACTCTAAAAATGAGTACCTTACTCTGAAAATATTTCTTAGATCACTGATGTTATGGTCATCTTTCAAATGCAACAGTTCTCGTTTAATTTTTTCCTGTTAAACGTGCCGTTTTTCATTAATACGAACGAGATCTGAAAAACATTCTTCAGTGTATAGTACATCCTAATTTTTTTGGGATTGAGGAGAGTGATAAGGTCCAATAATTTCATCTATGTCCACGTTACGAAGACGGTCCAAGATATCAGAGTTATGACTGATTACTGGGATAGAAAACATAAAGAACTTGTGCCGTCTAAAATATGTCAGATCAGCATTTGCTAGTGAAAAAGCTTTCAAAATATCAGACTTCCATGAATTGATAACTAAGTTAACATCATAGACTATCTATTGGGATCTCAAATAATCAGATATAATTCCTACCATTTCACATACATCCATAACTTTAGGAGAGAAAAGTGAAACATGTCTCCTCAATAAGTGATAAACTAAATGTTGCTTCAGCTGAATAAGTAGTTTGAAACTTATTCAGCTGAAGCAACATTTAGTTTATCACTTATTGAGGAGACATGTTTCACTTTTTTCTCCTAAAGTTATGGATGTACCGTGGGCTATGTGCGACCCCAAAATCTCCACCCACAGGGATACCTCCCTCGGTACCCGAGTAACGCCGGGTAAATTTTCTAGTATATATATATACAGAACAAGAACTATGAACAGAACAGAAGTTGAATTTAATTTCTTTTGGTTTCTTTTGATCTCCTTAGATCGTAATAGTTTTCTCAACTTTTTTTATAATTATGAATAAATATTTTTCTTTCGTAATAAAGTTTATTAATTTATTTCGAAAGTTTATTGACTAGTTCAATCCTCATCGGTGGATACAAATAATTAATTAAACTAAAGTAAAATTCACAAACTGAACAAAACTTCCCTCTTTTAATAATACTTTAAGAACTTTCTTTGGACTGAACCGTAAAGACAACTAATGTTTAAACTATAATGAGGCAGAGTTCATCAAAAGTGATGGGGGAAAGCTCTGGAATGTCAACGGTTGAAGCTGCTATCATGATACAGTTTTGTCATCTACTGTCAGGAGCTCCTATGTTAAAAAAGGGAAACTTTGTTCAATTTGTGAATTTTACTTTAGTTTAATTAATTATTTGTATCCCCCGATGAGGATTGAGCTAGTCAATAAACTTCCGAAATAAATTAATAAACTTTATTACGAAAGAAAAATATTTATCTATATAAAAATTTTCGTGATTTATTTCAGCATTTTTTAGTTGCATAAGATATTCCAGAGCTGGGCAAGTCACAACTTTTTCAGTCTCAGTCAAGTCTCAGTCTCGAAAAAAACCATCAGCCTTGATTCAGTCTCAGTCATGACTTACACTTGCCCATTTTTCGTTCTTTTTATTCTGATCGTGGTATTTAACAAGTAAAAGAAGGCACAGGAATACTTCTGATATCTTAATAGAGAAATTTAAAGGTACATTTTAACTGTGAAGAGTAGAAGTACACTGAACTTGATGATATTAGAGTTAGAAAAAGAGCAAACAACCTTTCTAACACAAGTTGTTATATTTTCAAGCTAAAATCGCAGAAGAGGAACGTTACTCAGTTTCTTATCGATTTTCGAAACCAAGTCTTTGATTTTTGGTCAGAAATTTTTGCGAACCATATGGCCTGATAGAGCACAGAATTCTGAGCAAAATATGATATCTCTCGGCTGTCTATAACGCTTTTTAATTCAACTGCAGTCGGCGGTGAAAATTACTAAAATATTCCAGTAAAAAAGCGTTATACACAGCCCGGAGATATCAGATTTCGCACGGAATTCTTTGGTAATAGTCGAAAAAAAACTGATCGAAAAAAAAATTAAATTTTTGCGACTGATCTATCTTATCAACATAATTGGAAGATCAAATCCTAATAGTGAATGCGCCTAAAAAGAAAGAATTTTTCTTCATTTACTCTTTTTAATATTCTTAATGAATTTCTAAATAGGTTCGTGTATGTGACTAGATAAAATTGTGATGAATGTACACAGCAGGAAATGTGCAGAAGTTTTGAACGCGTTTAAACACGTCAATTAAAAAATTTACTATTATCTCGCGTTTTTCCTTTGGTTTCGATTTTACGACTTTTGCATTTAAAATCGAGATTTTTGACGCGCTGAAACCGTTTTCCACGTTTTTTCAACGCATCGCAGGCAATTTTAAATGTTTCTTTCGAAAAATAAACGCGTTTTAATGCGTTGGAGCTGCAAGCGTATATCTCGGGAAGCAAAGCATATTTTTCGAGACGAAAAATTTGCATCCTGATATAGGGTCTAAAGTATTCGTGGGAAAATTTTGAGCTCGATCGGACCATTTTTCGAGGGGTCATAATGTGACCCGATGAAAACTAGAGTTTTCCCGAAATCCATAGAAGAACACGTTAGAAAATTCTGGGCAAAAATAGATCGATAATCTTTTTCGATGTTCTATGTGTGATCTTGCCTCTAACGTTCCCAGCTTGTAGAGGATACTTCGAAGTATATGTCCTGAAGTTTTTTCGGCTTACTGACATTATCTGGCTGAAAAAAAACTAATTACTTAACAAAATATTGTTAAATTTTTGAACAAGGGAGTATTATTAAAAAATTCCTGTCCATCCTCCATTCATCACAAAAGCTTGGTCCTTGCCCAGATCGATAGAGAAATGTGTGAAGAATATTTACTACGAAAAAATATGTAAACATTTTTTTTCTTTCCTTTCTGTTGTTGACTAATTAGTACTAATTTATGTTAATTGAGCCTATTCTACTAGCTTAAAGTCCCATTTGTAAAATAACGACTCAACGAAAAAATTCAAGCAATACCTCATCTGATAGAGAATTTCACGGGCTAAGATTTATGTTTGGCTGCTGGGTAGATCTGATTTCTTTTTTCACTAAAGAATTGTTCAGGCCTTATGAGCGCACGAAGTTTTTTCAAACTTACCTCAAAATCACTGACAGCTGAATGTGATATTTCTGAATATGGTGCAGGAGCCCAGTAACGATACCAGTTTTATATACTTGTTTTTTTGTGCGTTAGCAGTAGTGAATTCAGTAACTTGCTATGTTTTTTGGAAAAAAAGGAGTATGTTAAAAGTTTCATCGAATAAAAACAAACTTAAAGGTAGCCTCTCTTGTAGCCCGTGAAATTTCCTATCAGATGAGATACTGCTTGATTTTTTTTATAGAGTCGTTATCGTTATATTACAAATGGGACTTTAAACTTGTAGAATAGGCTAAATTAACATTAGTTAGTATTAATTAGTCGATAACAGAAAGGAAAGAAAAAAAATGTTTACATTTTTTTCGTAGTAAATATTCTCCACACATTTCTCTGTCGATGGGCAAGATACATCTTTATAGATACATCTTGGTGTCTTATATCGATCGACATCAAAACCGAGGTTATATGTAGAAATC